CAATCATTCTCCTCACAGCTTCTTGGCAAACTTAGAATCAGAGACAGTCAGAAGTACTGCAGACCAGCCTACACACCTCTTCTGTTTTCTCTGAGAAATGCACTCAGGTTTCCTTGACTGTCAGCCTCCATTTCTATTTCAACTGTATTTGATTCCTCGCACTCCAAAACAAAAGGGGGGGGGTGGAAATCACCCAGTACAGCTTGCTTTACACACAGATGCATGCACCCAGAGGAATCAATTTCAGACTGGTTACAGGACTAGACAATTTTCAGAGCCTGGAAATTTATGAGCAAAAAAGACAGGGAGATGTTGTTCTTTCTCTTTACAGATCCACTTCTCTGAGCTGTAACTGGAGTTTTGTTTTTCTCACCAACCAGCTGTGAACTAATTACAAGAAGTTCTAACTAGTCAAGCTCCCTCTCCAAGCATATGGATCCAATTAAGTCAAACTGCAGCTGATTTTAATCAATCTTCCTTGAAGCAGCCAAACTTGAAGAATCTCTTCTCCTTCAACTCCAAGAGCTGAGGAGAGCAGGAAAGGCAGGAGAGTGGTATTTGCATAAGGAACACTTCACATCCGCTTGGTCGCCTGTAAACACAAGGCTCCTCACAGTAATAAATGCTAATTGAGCGCTCTTCAGAAGTCTTTCCTCCTACTTTATCCGAAAAGCACTGATTTGATCATTTGCTTTTGTTCCTGGCTTCGAGCTGCATCCACCCCGACGAACCGGGGGAAGGATAACTCGGAGCGTTTCAGGCAATTCATCAAGAAAGCCACTGGGGTGCCATCAACAGCCTGCCCACGAGAAGAAAAGGACAGTCGGGGCAGCAAGCCTGCCTCCCCTGCCAGCAGGAGTCACTACAGAGAAAACGGCTACTGCTGGTGTGGAAACCGTCAAACCCGTCTGTGACCGACTGCCCCTGCTGCTTCCACAGATGGACTAATGTCCACTGCCACATTCGTATGCTGTCAGTTGGATGGGTCTTGGGCAACAGGAGGTGGCCATGGAGGGGCTATCATCTCCCTACATCCCCAACATCTCGTGTGTTTTTGTAATCTGAGGTTTTTACTAGCCGTAAAGATCTGAGCAGTGAGCAATAACCATGCTACAGTCTTTATAGGCGTGAAAGAAAATCAATACAGCCTGCAGCTAGGTGTCAGGAGCCAAGGGGGTGTTGGAAGAGGAGGGGTATTGAGGTGGATGGAGCCTCCAGCCATAATTCAAGCTGTCCCCATGCAAGCCGAGAATACGAAGAGATGTCAGATGTTATATACACTGCTGCAGATAGTCATCAATATCTCTGTGTCTTTACTTGCTAATATCAGACTCGGGGGGTAAAATCACATGCTTACTAATGCAAAAGCAGTTTTTGAAGTACACACCTGTCCAGAAAGTGAGGGTCACATAGTTCACAATATGCCCTGACCATTTAAAAAAAAAAAACCTGAAGTTGTCAACAAAGTCAAACCTTGATGGGTCTTAACTCAGAAATTTGGAGAAGTCCCCTACAGTCTGAGTTGCCTGCAGAGAGTTTATGAACTGGTCTGAATTACACCCTGTCTCGCACACATTCCCCATGCCTTACGCTGCCATAATGGCAAGCTCTGTACCTCTCCATAATGCCTTTTATGTGCTGCAGTCCAATCTTTCACTCCAACTACAGTTTAGCTCATTATACTTAAAGGAAGATTAAGATCCGCCACAGATTTGTCTTCTTACTCTGTCATCGTTTCCCTACCTCTTTCACTCCTGTATTGGCTTTGATCTTTACTTTTCGTCAAGTCTGTGATTTCGACTGGGACATTCAACTCAGTAACATATATATTTTTAAAAAGAGTTATTTGCGACCTCACTATTTTCTCTGCTTTCTCTCTCTTCTTTCAAAGAAGAAGGAAAGTGATTTTAATCCTTCCTTTCCTCAGTACCTCACCCCTGGAATACATAATAGACCAACCTGGGAACGTTCCAGTGACTCCATTCAAGTGCAGAATGACCTTTTCCCAACATATTCTCCGAGAACAACGTGATTGAAGAGATGAATTGCTAAGTGACTCATATTAAATGGGGTTCATCAGTACAGAACCAAATCTACAGTAGCACCTGGAGTCAATAGAAGTGTTTATAGGAAATGTAATTTAAGCTCTGGCTTGGCTAGGGACTTAGCAGTCAAGGGACAAATGCAAAAATCTCCATTATTAGGGCTGTATTTTCCTCTCAGAGGAGTTCTGAAAACTTGACCACGCAGCTGGGTGGGCAGGGATAAATATTCACATCATCTCAGGATTCATGCTGCAGAGCCCCTAAAATAAGCAGCTCCTGTAGAGGAAATCTCAAGTGCCAAGGAATTAACTTAGAGTTTTCTCCATTTCTCCTCATCTGCTTTCTGCTACGGGGGAAGCAGACATCCATATTTCTAAGATATGAACAAAGTGTGTCTCTTGTACTGCTGTTCAGAGACACCTTTGTTTGCTTTAGCACCCAGGAGCCTCAGGTCCATCCTACTATTCTGGCTCGATACAGCCTATTGACTTGATCTGGTCTCAGGGTCCTCCTTCTTCCAGATGTTCCATCTGTGGCACTCACCCCCTGCCCCCGCAACATCTCTTCTCTTCAGACCACTTACTTTCCAGGAACTCCTTCTCCACTACAAACTGTCCATTTGCAATGAGTGCCTTGGGGACTTCCTTTGGCTTCCCATTCTGAATACCTTCTCTTCCCCTCTGAGACTCGCACTCTTTATCATCCTAGGGTAGGTGGAGCTGGAACAACTAAATACGCAGGTTCCTGAAGGGACTTCCATCTATACTTAACCTGAGGTCACTTCTGAGTCCCAGTTTTTCTATTATTTCCATTTATTGTGCAGTGTCCACCAACTGAATCATACCAAACAACAGCTCTTCTGATCTAGAACCAAGATTCTGGTTAACACAATCCCACCTTCCAACTCCCCTCCAAGGGGCAAGTCTAGTTTCTCCTTTCTGGAAAGGGGGGTCCTGGCTGGTCCTTTCTTCCTCACACCTTTTCCATCACTGAATCATTCCTTTTACTTTTTAGACCCCTCAGAAAGCCCTAATACACACTACCCCATTCATCAAGTTCTGTGGCTCTGGGAAGTGCCACTGCTACAAGTCACTGCAATACAGGCCAGTAGCTTCCGAGAGAAGTTCTATCTATCTGTTTGAATTTGAGCCTAGGTCTGTTGCCTGCAAAGAGTAGAACTGTCACTGTGTTCCCACAACCCTGGTTACCCGAGATGCAAGTGGTTACACTGCAACATAAAGACTGCTGTGTTGATATCCTGCTCCCAAGTCTTGCATTTTCTATCATATTTACTCTAAGGCTGCTACCAAAATGACCACACACACAAAATCACATAAGGAATGGAACAATTAGCAAAAACATAAGGAAGGCTTGGAGCCTTCCTGCTGCAGGAGACACCTTAAAAGTCTGGTGTTCATAGCCATCAGGGGCTATAGCTGATGCTAGTCATAAACAGCATAGGTTTTTTCACAAGTTGGAGAATTAACTGTGCTCAGGACTGTGCCGGCCTAGTGCAGTGAGCCAGCAGTCATTTGGAGACAACAGCAACAGATTAAATACGACTTAAATGAGTTGTAACCTGCTCTGGAACCAAAGCTGCTGTTGTGTACATTGGAGACCCGAGCATCCGAACACAAAACCCAATGCTTTCATCTCCTCCTGATGACTGAAACCCAATTAAAGGAGAGCCGGGTGACAGGTTTTGTGCTAAACGTGGCTCAGCAGAGGCGCTCAGCAGCTCTCGGCTCCCTGCTTTATCAAAGCTGTCACTTCCTCCGTCTCCAGGAATTGGTAATAAAAAAAGAGATTTGATTTCCCTCTAATAGGTGTCAAGATAAAATCAATGGTCTGTCTGAAATCTGGGTAATTTCAAAACTGCGGGTTTTCTACCATGAAGTAATTTACACAAAAAAGGAAGGGGGGGGGGGGTGGAGAAAGAAAAGGAAAGAAAGAAAAAGAGAAAGAAAAATTAAAAGAATGCAATGCAACAATGCTGAGAGAACAGCAGGGAGAGATAACACCGCTCAGAGCAGGATGGGCTTTGATTAAAAACAGACCAGCTCAGGTTCTTGTTCACTCCAGCTTCTTTCAAGCCGGAAATGCTTAAAAAGCCTTTAACAACTCTCCTCTCTCCAGCCCCCTTCTTACACAGAGCAAGAGTGTCAGAGAAGTGAGAGCAAACAGTGGGATTGGTGCCCTCCGCTGCTGTGCACTCCCCCTGCACTCCATCGGGGAGAGTGGGATTTCACTGCCCTATCCAAAATGAAAAGCTGAAGCTCTTGCTTGTGCGACAGAGAAGTGTCTGCCTCAGTAATAAGGTAATGACGAGGACAGCCTGCAGTACCATGGTGCAATCAAGCCTCCAGCTCTTTTACCATTCAAAGTGTCTGGTTTCATGCCTTCCTCCTCCTTGTCCCTTGAATATGCCACCATGCTTTCCAACCCCACCACCATATCCTGATTTGGATCATTCCTACCAGACCAGGTCAAACTTGTGAGCTTTGCTTTCCATTAGTGGTGACAATGGTGGAAGCTGTGGTGTAACTACAGCTCAGTCACTGTTACCAACCTGCTGTAATGTTAGCAAAGACAGGAGCCCTGTGAACACTGCAGCTTCTGCTGCCAGTACAGCTGCAGCAAGGGTGTTATGGGGGTAGAGTCTGCCTAGACATGTAAGGGTTGGGAGGCTCCTAACCAGGAACACTGGAAAAAGCTTCAGATCTTATGTGACTAGACAGATGCTCAAACAGCCATGTTGCAAGCTGGTACACAGATAAAGTACATGGGGTTGGCTTAGCATGGGCTTCCAACAAGATCTTTTGCCCATACTGCAGTGGAAGGATATGTCCAGTCACAGGCATATCTGACAGTCTGTCAGCACATCTGGCAAGCCTGGACAATGCCAAGCTCTCTAAGCTTGACCACTGTCTCCCTGAACATGGTCCTGTCCCTTACCTGAAGCGTTAGCTTCTCCAATTTCATTTCTAAACACTTATTCTCCTCTTCCAGTCTGCCTCGCTCAGCTTCCAGCTCTTCGATCTTCAGCCTGTAAAGAGGGAGGGGGAAAAAATAATAAGACATTGCAACCCCCAGTGTGCTGTCCCTGGTATAGTCCTGCCACTACAAAGAGCACAATGAGGGTGGATCGATGAACCAAGTCATACACCATTTACAAAATAGTCTTCCTGTTGTGAACACCACACTCATTGAGTGCACAAAGCCATGCTATTGCACCATTAACAATGCAACGTTAAGACATAAATAGTTAGGAAATTCAACGCTTACAGCTCCTATGGCAACAGCATGACCTTGGCCATGTCACATACATGTACAAACTCCTACTGCTCTTTGCTTTTGTATAACTTTTCCATTTGTATTTTTAGAAAGATATTATGACAATAGACAGCAACCTTGTACTTTGCATTTCTTGCACTTACCACACAACAAACATGGACCCATGTGAGGTTCTGGATCTAGCTTTCTAGATATTTTTGCTTTTTTATGATTTTTTTTTTTTTGAGAGAGACAGAAAATAGTTAATTATTCTATTTAATAATATTTATTCACATCAGTGAAAATTAGATTTTGATTATCAATGTACCTATTAGGTATATTTCACTGCTGGAAAAAGAGTGAATGATATTTCCATGTCCATTACACAGAAACCATTAACAGCTTAAGTGCTTAATTCTTCCACAAAAGGTTGTGATATGGCAAATCTTCATGTGCACATCACCCTAAAGTCAGGCCTTCTGCCACATCTATAAAGGAAAAATGCCTGCAAAACTTCTCCAGAGAATCTGGCAGCTTCTAACCATCTTTACTTGAAATCACTGTGTTGCACCACCATAGGTTTTGAGTTATTTTAGTTGGTGTTTAAAGTATTTGTCCGGGTGCCCCCTGCTGGTCATTCTCAGAAAGTATAGCAGGCTTGAGAGTCGTTTTCAGCCATAGGAATAGTTAGTTACAAGCTGCGGACGACTAGCTACTGAAATTGTCCAAGCAGATAAGGAGAGCATTTGATCAGTTCAGAAAGACGCATATAAAGAGTGCAGATATTAAGAGGCAGAGGTGGGCTATTAAAGAAGCACAAGAAAGAGGAGGGTGGGAAAACTGGAAACTCAAAATGCATTTTGTGCTTTTAACTGTGAGTTCTGAATGGTTTGCAAAACATGCCAGGGGAACACAGACCTTTTTTCCAAGGAAATATAAAACAAGGAAACAGAAAACAGCAGCTATTAAAAGGTCAGGATCAGAAGCACAGGATTCCCAGACATCCCCCATGCTCAACATAGTGTATTTTGGCTCAAGTCCTCTCTGAAATCTACCTTTACCACCCATCCTCTCCAAGCAGGTGGCGTTTCTGCCCTCTGCATTGTGTTTTTCAGCTAAGCCCTTCTGCCACCTTCTACTATCCAACAGAGGAACCTCAGGAAAGAGCAGGCTTTCAGAATGGATCAAGCTGTAACTGGATTAGTTTGAAGACATTATATTTATGTAGTTCTCATTCTGTATTTTTAAGATTTAATAACTTGTTCCTACCCTTAATTTCTTGCCTGGAGAGGGCTGGTGCTTGATATAATTGTGATGTTTTGTCAGGGTAGAGACTGTGTGTTCAGAATATCTATGTTGCAGCCAGTGACGTTTTGCAGCACAGTCCAAGCGTTGCTCCCAGCCCTGGTCCTTGAGTGAGATTTCCTACCTGCTCTCTTATGAAAAGTTCAGCTACTTGAATTTTTCAGTCATTTAATTTTCACTCTGCCTCCTTCTGCAGAGAGAGCTGTGCTCTTGGGTATCGCACCACCCAACAGTACCTGCTCCAATGCAGCGGGGAACCAAGGTGCAACCTCATTCCCACCCTCGGTTGGTACTGCTCCTTCCCACCTGGTGAACTGCTTTCCCCCCCAGTGCTAGCTGGGGCCATCATTGCGCTCTTAGTGCCAGAGGGATTTCTAGAGACTCACTAATGCTTTAGCTATTTACAGAACACTCTTCTCCTGGCCTGTTTTTCACACAGTAAAGTGCCCTGGATCTCTGCTGTGGGGATGTTAAGACCCATTAACAAACTCTCTAGGTCTTCCCCAAACAGTCCATGAGAGCACTTCCCAGTGGCAGAGAGAGAGGCAGGGGAGAGCTTATCTATGCACAAGCACAGCAAAGCAATTGTGGTTAGTAGTTAAGTTACAACAAGCAAATGATGAGATGGTACTTGGCCAGCACCAGAATTTTTCCTGTAAGCTCAGTTACTGGGCCAAGACGGTGATGTATTTAGTTTTCCCAGTATGCATATGGACAATGGTCATCTGCGGGGAACCTTGTGTCCCACGTGACCAGATGCAAACAATAAGATATAGTGGTACCCATTTTACACCCAAGTCTGAAGTCTCAATATTTTACATAGCAATTGCACCTCCTTGGTGGATAGTCTCTATAGGTGCTTTAGGGTAGAGAGAACAATTCAAGGCAGAATCATATGATGAACAAGAGAAAGTAAATGAAAGAGGGGCCAGGGCAAAGTACAGTCACCTGTCAATTCAATGTCTAGCTTAGAATGAAGACTGGCGTCTGTTTTAAAAGCAGTTTTCCATGCAAGAAAGAAGAAATATCAGTTGCTCTGTAAAATACTGATGCTATAAAACACTGAACTTTCCTGTTGCAGGAAAAATCATTGGGATTCACTTCTGAAAATCTACCAATTCGCTCTTTGAAGAGAGGTTTGAAAACACGAAAACATTTAAACTCTTGACAAGATTGCTTCAAATCTCAAAAAGGATTTTCCTGCAGCACATACAGCAGAATTAAATAACCCAGAAAAGGAGGCAGTACAATCACAGCGCTGTTTCAAGCTGCCTTCCCAGGCCCTGGGGAGACATTTGGTTAGCCCAAGATCACAGAGGACTTGCACCTACTCTGACCTGTGTATCTGTTGCCAATAGGCTGTCCTCACAAGTGTCTCCAGTGCTGTCTAGATGGGAGCATCGAGGTGCTGCTCACCCAGAGAGAGCACAGGTGTAAGGCCCAACGTAGAAGGGACCAAAATAATGGAAAAAACCCTACATGCCCAAGAAAAACATTTGCCCTTCTAAGCAAATATAATTTGCCCAATAAATACTCAGTAACGTCATCATCAGAGCATCTATGGAAAATGTTAAGGACAGCTAGATAACTCCTCCCTTTAGAAATTCTCTGAGTCCAGTTCATTCCAGGAGAATTAAAAGATGGCCCTATTCTTCTCCCCTATTGCCCTGATTTATACTTCTAAAACACTTGCAAATACTGTGGGTACCGTTGCTTAGGGCATCTCTCACAGCATGCCCCATCTGTGAAGAGGGCCCTGCCATGTGGAGAAGCTATCACAGAAGAGGAAACTATCGAATGGAGCAGAAAATGTATGTGTTGGGAAGCCACTATTAAAGGATCCAGATGGCAAGGAGACAGTGTTAGGAGTGGAGCAGAGAGATTTCCAGCAACTGTGACTAATAGGCATTGGCAAGGACATGAATTTCTTTTGAATTACTGTAACTCTACCCAGTTGCTAAATCCATAGAAAACATTTAGGATTTACTGGAGTTGCTGTTTGACAGCAGAAAGAAAAAGTTCAGATTTGTTCCAGCTGAAAAGGTCCTTCAGCTGTTGCCACTTAAGTCTTTAGTGAAGTTTTCTTAATGCATTATTTTTATTTATTTGTGGTTATAAAATGGCATCCTTTGCACATTTATTAACAGCTCAGTAAAACATGCTGTTGTCTAAACTCTGTCCACTTTGTCATACTCCATGGTCAGCAAACCAAATTGTTTGACCATTACCTCTATTAGAAGACCAGCACACCACGGGAAATATAATTTACAGGAGCATATGGGGGAGGGAGAGATGGGAGGAATGGCAGTATTAATATTGGCTTTAATTGCCTCCTCAGAAATGACGCTGGGAAAAATTTCACATTTAAAGTTATAAAAGGTCTGACGGAAGAGCACATTGTTCTTGAAGGAGAAAAACTGATAAAGTCTTTCACAAGCTTCTCACTTGAAAATTTACTTTCCATACTAAAGAAAAATGAGACAAAAGATTAAAAAAAAAAAAAAGAAGCCTGCACTCACTCACAGACCATGAATACAGATTCAGAGGATTAATGTGGATTTCTTTGTCCTTTGTGTCTATCCTGCATTTGTTTTCAGAAGTTAGCTTTTAACTGGGAGGTTTATATGGAAACGCCTGGAGGCGCAGTCTTTTCCTGCTTTTCAGGTTTCTCTCACCATCTTCTGCTACTTTCCTTCCATTTCTCAGGTACCAAAAAAGCCACTAACTGGAGGGGTTGGGCTCAGTGCAGAAAAGCAAGCTATCGTGGTGTAGGTTAATGATGTGTTACGGTCCATAAAAACCTTCCCTCACCAGAGGTGGGATTTCCACTTTGGAGAGCTTGTATTCTTCCATCTTTTTTTCTGCCACAGTGAATTTGTGACAACATTTTGTTTAAGGGAAGGAATACGTGTAGCGTGCATGTTCCTTGCTCCTGTGACTCCTCTGGCAGTAAGCAAGAGCGCCTTCCCCAAGTGCAGAGACACCACCTACAAGGAGCATGCAAGTGAACTGGCAGTACAGACGCCCAGGAGAGTTCCTCTAATGCCCTCCCAGGGAGAAGGGAGGGAGGAAGGGCAAACCAACCAATGTCTCACCCCTACCCATTCCTTCCCCACATAATCCTTCCTTTCTTCACTTATCACATTTGACCAACTTCATCTTTGCTGCTGGGAGAAGATTTAAGGCTTGAGCAGGCAGGGAGCATGTGCTTCTAGGGACCGCCACAGCTCGTGCCCAGTTCCACAGCTTCCACTTTGCTTTCAGTGCATTGCTTCTCACTAGAAATGGCTCAGAAAAGTGACCACTTCTGGGACACTGTAAGCTGGATTGTGAACAGAAAGAAGCAGAGCTGTAGGATTAACAGCCACAGGTGCCATTTGAAAACAGACTGGAGGTACTTGTAATCTAAGAGGAGAAAAGTTCAGGGGCTACCTCTGTACAGCACATGCTGGACAGCTCTATAACACAATCACTATTATGGATTTGAGACCTCTGCCCCAGACCAGGAAAAGATGGACAATGGGACAGAGGAGATCCATTCCCACTGTCAGGAATCTGCCACCAATATAATGACGAACTGGAATATGTAGAAATCCAGCTGTTTTTCTTCTCCTGCCGTCCTTGAAGCTGCTCAGCTAATAGATGGCAAATGCTGCTCAATGAAGATAAACACTGAATAATGAGTCTTGGAGGTGAAAATAAAGAGACTGGAACTTCTCCTAAATGGAAAGGGTGCTGCAGCCCATACTAACCAGGAGAGAGAGGGAGACTGGGGAGTTACTGTAGAAATGTTATGAAAGCCTCCAGCTCTCAGAAGACAGCAAACATGATGCTGGTTTTACTGATAGAGAAGCACATTAACAACCAGAAGGAAGGCTTGAACTGATTGCTGCCAATGAGATGCTGTATACCCCTGCAGCACTACAGACATCTTGCCTCAGAATGGTCCAGCTTGCCTGAGAGATGTTGGAAATGAAATTAGACCTTCAACACTAAACACAAATAAGAACATAGGGAGAAGGAAAGAAAACTGCATGGCTTCCAGGTCCATCTTCTTCAAAACAGGATGTGAGAGATGCTGGGCCTTCAAAACTCTGCTGTAAAGATCGGCAAAAACTGCCTCTCAAGGAGTCTGTCCCCAACATTAGGTTTATGGCTTTAGGTTACATTGGAATAGCTTAGCTGAACATTTGTGGTTTTCAAATACCTTCCAATCAAATACTGAGCAGCACTTGCAAAGCTATAAAACAAGCTGCAGGAAAAAAAAAAAGGTTCAGCAAATTCATAAGACATAGGTCAGTAATTCGTGCCTGCTGCAACCTCCTGCTCTCAGGCCTGAGAGGCAGCAATACTTCTACAGCGATGGAACTGAAAATATAAAAGAATTAAGAGGAGGGAAAATCATCCAGCCAAAGCTCTGCATCAGCTCAGTATCGAACAGGCAGGTTGTCAAGATCTAACTGATTTTGCTCAGTTTGAATAAAAGGAACCTTATTAAAACACTCTGGACACAGATGAACTTTTCCATGCTCCGTATTTATTATGTCACCTGCTTTGGAACAGGAGCTGTAAATGCTTTAATAAATAGGCTGAAAGGTTGTCTAGCTTGACTGTAGCTTTTGTAAATGCTTATGTATCCTCTGCTGAAATGTTGTTTTGTAACTTCTCTCTCATTGAATCACAACATGTATCCCTTTGCCATCTGCAACAGCACACTGAGGGAACTATTCTTCTTTCTCCAGTGCTGGAAGCACATCAGTATCACAAAAGGCTGATTCTGAGCCCCTCTACAAGGATGCCAACAGGTCTTGCATCTAAAGTCCAGATCCGGTAAAAACCAAACACATAAACAGCAATGCTGGTCCACAGGGAAGCGAGTAAATAGGAGGAATACGTGATGAAGGAGCCACTGCAGTATGAATTAACAGAGTGCAAGAGACTTGGGCAGATTCCAGAAACAGCGTGGAGGGACCCAAGGGGGGAAAGGGCTAGAAAGAGGCAAGACAGAGGGAAGATCAGAGGACTCAAAATTTTTCGTGGCTTCAGGGACTTAGGTTTGTAAGGGCTTTTTTTTGTTGAGGGAGGGGGGAAGAGGAGGAGGCGGCAAGGTGAAATGCTCATAGATTGGAGTCGGTTGGTAAAGAAAGATTATTTTCTGGAAACACACTTCAAGGAAAAGTATGTAATAATAAATGCTAATGTGTTGTCATTTAAATGGCAAGCTCCTCAGCACAGGGACTGGTTTCATGGTTGTGTATAGCTCTCAGCAGAGTAGGGTCTCGAACCCATGGGTGGTCCCTTCCCCGCTCCCCAAATGTTTAGCAAATGGAAACAACTCCCTGCACGTAGCTCACCTGAGAGTGTTCAGTTCCTCCTGGGTGACGAAGAGGCTTTGATCTGCTGTGCAAGTTTGAGATTTCAGGAACTTCAGCTCTGCCTCCAGCTGCAGAACAGGAGAGGACATTACTTCACACAACAAACTCAGAGATATTATGGACTGTTGTAAATACTGAAAGGAGGGAGGAGAGCTTTAAGTGCTATACCATATCTAAACATCTGATTCCTTAAACTTTGGGGACTTTAAAACATGTAATATTTGTGCACCTGCGGTGCCCAGGTGCACTGTGGTTTTGTTCACCTTCCTCTGACACATCATAGATCACAGTAACTCTATGAGACAGGATGCTGGACTCAATGGCCCATCATTATATCACTACAATGGAACCGATGCTCCTACATCCAACCCTACTGCTGCGCAAGTGTCTTTAGTTTTGTGGCTCTTCTACCTGAAGGCAGCAGAATTGGAAACCGGAATCGTTTCAATGTACCATGGCAAGTGCAATTTCATGTGTCAAGTGCCAGCTCCACAGCTAACACTCTCTTCTCTCCCTAGGCCTCCATTTAGCTCCCCTGGCATTTGGTCCAAGGCAGCGAAGGGATTATTTTATTCAACATTCACTACTCCTCTTCTAGGCATGTTCCTTATCACTCTCCACAAATCATCTAAGGCAGAGGACCCCTTATATGAACCTAAAACTTGCGTAGCTCCTGAGGTTCAGAGCTGGAATTTAAACCTCATTTAACACCAATTCCTCCCCAGGAAATGAACCCCAGCAAAGATGACATGGGTGCCTTGTCCAGACCAACTCGGAAGTTCCTGTATGGCATATCCACTGGATAGGAGACGCCTTCCAATAATTTCACATACACAAGCCTCTTGTAATTTAAATTGTTCGGGTGAGACGGGGCCAGTAGATTAAGAATTAAGAAAGCATTTTACCTCAGGCTTCTCAACCAAGAAGATCCACAATCTCACATGTGAATTGCCTCCATTTTCCTGAGCAGGGACCGGAACAGCCACTCTCCCTCTGGGCCCCGCTCAGGCCCCAGGGGAGGCACACCTAGGCCAAGGGTCAGGGAAGATCTCCTCAGGGAACTTCTGCAGGGACTGGATGTATTCAAATCAGCTGGTCCAGACGATCTCCACCCCAAGGTGCTGAGGGGATTAGCTGAGGTCATTGCGGGACCCCTGGCACGGCTGTACGAGCACTCGTGGTGCTCTGGTGAGGTGCCAGAGGACTGGAAGAGGGCCAGTGTGGTTCCCATCTTCAAAAAGGGGAGGAAGGAGGACATGGAGAACTACAGGCCAGTTAGTCTTACCTCAATCCTGGGTAAGCTTTTTGAGAGAATTATCCTGGCACATGTCCACGAGGGGCCAGCGGGGGAGATTATGCTTAGGGGCAACCAACACGGGTTCATTAGAGGCAGGTCCTGTCAGACCAACGCGGTGGCCTTCTACGACCAGACCACCAAATCATTAGATGCAGGGGTAGCAGTGGATGTAGTCTTCCTGGACTTTCAGAAGGCTTTTGACCCCGTTCTCGTTAAGAAACTGGGGGACTGTGGTGTCGACACCCACACAGTCAGATGTGTCATCAACTGGCTGGCGGCCCGCACCCAGAGAGTGGTGGTGGACGGGTCATTTTCGACCTGGAGGGACGTGGGCAGTGGGTCCCCCAGGGCTCGGTCCTCCGGCCCGCACTGTTCAACATCTTCATCAGTGACTTGGACGAGGGGGTAAAAAGCACCTGTTCAAATTTGCTGACGACAGTAAGATGTTGGGGGATGTGGGCATGCTAGAAGGGAGGAATAGGCTGCAATCGGACCTAGACAGGTGACAGCGATGGGCAGACGAGAAAAGGATGGGATTCAATCTGACAAGTGCAAAGTGATGCACCTGGGGAGGAAGAACCGGCACCATACCTACAGGCTGGGGAACTCCCTTCTCGTCAGTACAGAGGCAGAAAAGGATCTTGGAGTCATTACTGATGCCAAGATGAACATGGGCCGGCAGTGTGGAGACGCTGGTCGGTCAGGAAGGCCAACCGCACCTTGTCATGCATCCACAGATGCATTTCAGGCAGGTCCAAGGAGGTGATCCTCCCCCTCTATGGTCAGGCCGCAGTTGGAGTACTGCGTCCAGTTCTGGGCGCCGCACTTCAGGAGGGATGTGGACAGCATGGAGAGGTCCAGAGGAGGCCACTCGTATGATCAGGGGGCAGCAGGGCAGGCCCTACGAGGAGGCTACGGGACCTGAACCTGTTCAGCCTCCACAACAGAAGGCTGAGGGGGGATCTAGTGGCCGTTTACAAACTAGTCCGAGGGGACCGGCAGGCATTGGGGGAGTCCCTGTTCCCCCGAGCATGACCAGGAGCGACCAGGAATAACGGTCACAAGCTGGCAGAGGGGACATTTAGACTGGACATCAGGAGGCGCGACTTCACTGTCAGGGTGTCTAGGATCTGGAACCAACTTCCAAGAGAAGTGGTGCTGGCTCCTACCCTGGGGGTTTTTAAGAGGAGGTCAGATGAACACCTTGCCGGGGTCGTTTGACCCCAGTACCCTTTCCTGCCATGGCAGGGAGTCAGACTCGATGATCTGCTCAGGTCCCTTCCGACCCTAGAAACTATGAAACTATAATACTTCTTATCCAGGCCCTGTCATTTTCTAGTTGGGGACATAAGGAAAGGAACGGAGAAATCTCTTCAGTCTCCTTTGACCACTGGAATCTGTATTCTCCACCCAGCTGCTAAGACACCATGAGCAGGGGAAGGGGAAATGGCAGCACTCACTCCCCAAAAAGCCTCCAAACTTGTTAGCAGAGAAAGACTGTACAGAGCACATGCAACAGCTGTATTACTATTTCACAGTGTGAACTTCTCTGGTTTTTCCTTCATCTGTCATGTGCCTCCTGACTGCTAACCCTGCTCATAAATCTATAGCCAGATGTTGCAATGTTCACTTATAAGGAAAACAAGAAACACCACAACCTTCATTACAGATGAAAGCATATGAACACAGAAGACTTGGCATCAGGTAGATAATGCATTAACACAGGTCCCTTCAGCTGTACTTATTAGGCCTATAGAGCATCACAATTCTGCCCTGGCAGACAGGGCTCAAAGGCAGGAAGCTGGTACCAGGTTACAACCGGAGAAAGGAACACAAGTAAGAAGGCAAGAACAAACAGACAACTGCAGAGCTGCACCTAGTAATAACACTTAGCCAGGAATCAAGTTTCAATGCGTATACTTTTGCCCACCTGGGTGCCCCATGAAATGCATCAAAAACATGGAGCCAGGTACAGGCAGAAGCAGCAGAAGGGAATGGGTAGATTTTCCCATATTTTTAGGGCAAGATGTTCTAGACACCATCTTCTTTGGAACCGTGATGCATGTTTTTGCTCCCATTTCCTGCCAAAACCCTTTCAAGAAAAGAGAGAAGAAAAAAGCAAAAGCTCACCTGCACCACCATGCTGTAAAAATGTTAATGTATATTAGCTAGCTGATAAGATTATCACAGCAAGAAATGTTTTCCTCAATTTTCTGATTACCAAGCTTATCTCTCCCCACTCAGCCCATCGCAGATGGCTGGGATAAAGCAAGTGCTCTAGATAATTCCAGGGATGTGAATCAAGGTACCAGTACTGGCAGCAGACTTCAATTCCAGCCTACTTCTAGCAGGAAAACATTCATTATACACCCTGCTTCCCATCTCCGCTCAAGGCTGGGATGAGGTTTGTTATTACAGTTTTGCACTGCTTTCCAGGCTGCATGTGGACAGCATTTGAAGATGGAAGGGCTGGTAAATGTGTTATTTATCATAAGCTAAGCGGCCTCAGCCTTGAGTCCAACTGCCACCTGCTTACTGACATGAGCCGATAAATCACTGCCGGCTCCTCTGAAGAAGACGGGGGGTTAGTAATCTGCTGCTGTGGCTTGGGGTTGTGCGCGGTCACTGCATGGACAAGCAAAAAGTTTGAGTGTGTAATGGGACAAGGCAACAGGTGTGCACCTGCTCACACACGAGTGTGCTGCAATGGAAAGCATCAGCACAGGTCCTTTATGTGGCGTGTTGGTGATGACGGGTTAGACTCAGGAATTCCTGATAACTGCGTACCAATTACCTCGCAAGCAGCTCCGTTAGAAACTGAGTGAGATTCTGTACTGCATGTGTTAAAACAAGTCACGGGAGGTGAGGAGGAGCACATGGGCAGGGAGGCATAAGGGGGCTTTAAATATCATCTTTATGCCCTCCCAATTTTAAGCTGCTCCAGGGCTTAGGCAACCTAAGGCTAAATGTGGCCTCTGAGAACGGGGGCAGGGGGGACTGCATTAATATTGATGCAATAAATCAGAGTAAGAGGTGTATGCAGACATGGCCACGCTAATAGATAAAAAGGATTCAGGGTTTTGAGTGCATAGACCTCTACCTATTCAGTCTCAAGGCAAAAATCATCACCATAAAAATCTTTTAAACCTTTTATTAAAGGGAAAAAAACCCAAACAGTGGATCATTTGAACAGCACGGTGTTCAGCAAGGCTTTCACTCTAACAACAATGCTTATGCCTCAACTCCTTTAAGCTATAGAGAGCTTCTTTAAGGAACACTGCCTTCTCCTGCATTTGACAACCTTTTAGAGGGTGTTAATTGTCCTTTCCCAGGAAAAAAAAATAGCTGGTTGCAACTGGCTGGAGCTGTTGCTCTTGTTGGAGGCTGATCCTGCTTCCTTAAAGGTAAAACAGGACAAATACTCGCAAAAATAGAGAGAAAAGGACAGTGAAGACGGAAAATCATATTCCGGGTGCTGACTGGTACAAGCAATCTCATCCTGTTAGAGAACACAGAGCGCCACAGACAGCACTTGGCCCTACTAGCAACTCCAAGACCAGCAAGCTTCTGCAAGCATCAGGCTGTTTAAGGCACGGTTTTAGCTATCTCTGGAGTCACAGGTTTACAGGAAGCATGGCAAGAGATGTGGTCCTAGCATGCTAGGAGAACAAAAAGGAAAAGAGGACATGTGGGAGGGGATGACAACAGAGATGCAAGTCTCATGTTGCAGGTGGTTATCAGGACCTGGCATCCCTGGGGAGGTCATGTTGT